GGAACCAGGGTTTATCTGACACCTTTGCATAAAGGGGTCATGGGCACAGGCACCACACCTGGCTGAGTCTGCCAACCAGAGGGGCTGAGGCATGCTTGGGCGGAAAGTGCATGGCTGGAAGGACTAGGCGGAGAGAGCTCGGTAGCCAGGTAGCCTTGGGAGCTGGTCTTGTCCATCTCGTCTCTTGGAAGTCTTCAGCTTCTGGGTTTGGGGAGAAGGTTGGGGAGCCTGGTGTCAGCAGGCTGTCATTGCTGCCTTGGGCCATGGCATGGCACAGCACAGCTAAGCTTAGTTTAGCTGAGAGCCCCGCAGAATCTGGGCTCAGTCACTCTTTGGCTGCACATTTCTGTCCCCTCTGTGCCTCCCTCCCCAGGAGGTGGTGGTCAAGGTGTACTTGTGAGCTTTGCCCATCCAGCATATTGGCCTCACTGAGCTTTCCTAGTTTTGGGCAGGCCGCTCACTGGGACAGTCAGAGCACTGGAGGAAGGCTTAGACTGTCTCTAGGGGGTTGAGGGCCAGAGATGGAGCCCCACAGTGGCCTCTGGAGAATGGCCTGATTTCCTCCCAGTTTTCCCAGGGCGGGAGAGGCAGCACAGGGGTCACTGTGAGGAAAGCTCTGGTTTTGCCACTTAATGGCTTTGTGGCTTTGCCCAAGTCATACAATCTCTCTAATTGGGTCAGGTTTCTCATGGGTCCAGTGGAAATAGTAAGTAATCTGTGAAGCTCTCACTGGGCTACTAGGGGCACAAATACAATTGCTATAGGCAGCAGTGGCTTGTAGCCCTGAAGGCAATAGATGAAATTAATGATGTCATGCAGAAAACCAGGCAGGCATCTGTTGGTATCCGTGAGGTACACAGTGGGAGTTACATAGCTCAAGACCCAGTCCAGTTAGGGAGTGACAGGGCTGAGCAGCATGACCAAGTTGTAATGAACTGCTCATTTCACATCACATCTTGATTCATTGGTGATTTAGTGCTGAAATCAATTGGTGATTGATGTGTGATTTAGTGCTGAAATTGATTTTAGGGGGTTGTGACCAGTATTAAAAGAAAAAGAAGTAGGAAGTAGGATGGAATAATACAAAAATTGAACTGAAAATATCAGGTGCTTTAGTACATGTAGGAGTAAATTATTTTCATAAAATGTATTTTGGTTACGTGTGTATGTGTATAGTCTCAGTAAAAAATGTATTTCTTACTGTGAGTTTCAGTTTAAAAACTTGGAGAGATGGTGTTGTAAGTAGTCGAGATAAAGGTCTTCAGGTTGGAAGACAGCTAACAAGATCTGGGCAGGCACAGCCGCTGTGTGGAGGCTCAGGGCGTGACTTTGGGGTTCAGAGCATGCACTGTGGACTGAGGCAAGCCTAGGTTTGAATGCAGCTGCATGGCCTTGGGGGCTTCCCTGGTGGCTCAGAGGTGAAGAACCTGCCTGCCAAGAAGAAGGTTCAATCCCTGGGTCAGGAAGATCTCCTGAAGAAGGAATGACAACCCACTCCAGTATCCTTGCCTGGGAAACCCCATGGACAGAGGGGCTCGGCGGGCTGCAGTCATGGGGTCACGAAAGAGTCAGACACGACTGAGACTAAACAGCAGCAGCATAGCCTCGAGAAGCCCCTTACCTTTGCTGAGTCTTGGGCTCTGCTTCTGGAAAGTGGAGATAACATTGTGGTGGGTTATTGTGAAAGGTATATGAAAATAATATATGTGTATATATATGTATGTATTTTATGTAATATATATGTATTTTGAAAGATGTTGGTAAATAGTAAATAATGTTAAAATGGTAACTACTGTTGCTGCTGTTATTGTTGAAGTTGTCAATTTTATTATGTTGGGCCCCTAAAGTGTTGCTGTGACTTGGAGAGGGGAGAAGAAAAGGCATTCCAGGTAGGGGTGGGTAAGTGATGAGGGATGATTACGTTTGCCTAGTATGAGGCTGATCTGGCTGAGAATTGTGCAGCCTTAGAAAGGGGTTTTACAATAGACAGAAGGTACCAGAAAACTTAACAGTATGGCTTCAGCAATGAGGGTGGCTTCACCTGGAGATGATGAAGGCCCAGGCCTGAGGAGTTCCACTAGAGACCGTCCTCATTAGACTCTTTTGGTTGCGGAGACTCCTTCAGGCCACCTTAAGGACAGAGGAATTTTCTGCAAGAGTGAGTGAAACTCTCAGACCGGAAGCATCCCCATGGGCCATTTGGCCTCTTAAGTTGGTCATTTGGTCAGCCTCTCTGTCACTGGAAACTGGCACACACTCTCCCCCCACTGTTAGGAGGAAGCCACCTCAGGGCCTCCACACCGTCATGTCATTTGCAGAGATGCCCAGACCCCAGTCCACGTCACGGCTCCTTTCTGGGCATCTTTGGAGGGTCAGTTCACAAGGCAGGCCACCCAGTTGTATAGCAGACAGGCTCAGAGAGGGCAAGGGGCTATTGCAGAAGGAATTTCTGTATCAGACAGCAGTCTGCTCAAATGCCCTCTGAGATCCTGACCCACCAGACTGGAGAGTTTGTGAGCCTTCTGATTTTTAAAGAAAATGGGTAGTGTCCAGCCATTCAGGAGCACATTCTGTATGTGACAAGAAGTTCACCTGTAGTTAGAATGTCAAGTGCTGAGTGCCAGGTACAGCAGGTGGTTAAACTCCTTTGCTGTTGGAGGAGAGGCCACTCAAATGACCATCTTTCCTCCAAAATTTCCCAATTTAAGGTTTTGAAAATAAGAATAGATCTTTCAATGGACATGTACATTTAAAGTAGTAGTGGATTTTTTGTTTGTTTCTGAGACGACCTTACCAAATCAGTGTTGTAGTTTAAAATCAGTAGTGCCTTAGAATCCAGGAAATGTGGTCGTTTGTTTTGTACCCGTTTGAAATTCCGGTTTGAGGTTTGATGCTGGGTCTTTGAAACTGCAAAAGCTGTTATCTGGCATCATTTAAAAGAACACTGAGCTTGAACGTGTTCCCCTGTGTATTTGTAGTTGGGAGACTGGGTATCTCTGAGGCCCTGCTGTCAGATCTTATCAGCAGAGACAGACTAGAGGGTCAGGGTGTCACATGGATATATATTTAATCAGATGGGAATTCTCTGGAAACTGGTAATCTCAGGCAAAAGCCTTGCCCTCTTATGAGGCTCCATTTTCTCTTCTGCTCAATGGGATGATTGGATCAGATGTTATCCACATCCATAGCTGCCAGAACTTCCTGTTGACTCCCTGTGGCTACCTCCTTTAGTTTTAGATAACTAGAAGGCTCATCCCCTGACTTGTGTGACTGAGTGCTTTGTAGTGATGGGAGGTGACCTGGCCTGTGATGCTGGGCCTTTGGTTTGGGCTCCCTGGGTGTTTGGGGGCTGCCTGGAGATATGCATACATTTGTTTGTAAATTACCTGATCTATAAGGTGTAGTCTCTACTTTTCTCCTGAGGGGAGGGATAGGAAGGAGCCAGTCCTTGTGCCATGGTTCTGCTTCCAGGTGGTGAGAGGGTGGGTCGGTGGCCTGTGTGGAGGGGCCGTCGTCTCTCCTCGGCCAATCAGCTCCAGGGCTGCTCTCAGGCCCCTGCAGTTCTCCAGATAAAAAACCGAAGAAGAGGACCTGCCCGTTTGTGTCTGGGAGCTCTGCTCTGCCAGGGCCCCTCCCACTGCTCGTCTAACCAGTAAAAGTTCTAGCAGTGCATTTCCTTCCTGTAGAAAGAGAATCAGAGACTCAAGGCCTGGGCCAAATCCTGGCCCCGCTGTGTCCTGTTCCTGAGAGCCTCCACCCCGCGCTGCGTTCTGGGAGGTCAGGCAGTGCTGAGTGCAGGCCCTTGGCTACGATCTGACTTGGATTTGAGTCTAGGTTTTTCCACTGATTTGCTGTTTGACTCTAAGCAATATACCCTTCCTGGATATCTTACCTCTCAATAATGCCAGTACTTTTTTCATTGGAAAAAAGGGGCGGCGGGGGGCGGGGGGGAGGCACAGGAAAGAAATTTAAAAGATCCATAATCTACTACTTTAAAAATAATTCTGAGAGTGTGTATGTGTGTGTAGAGAAAGACACATACACGGTATTTTCATTGTTTTCTTACCAGTATTGCTCTGTAGGCTGAATACAAGGAAGGACATGTAGACCACGCAGTCTTCAAATGCTAGTCATCTTCTCTTTGCCCCATGGTTATGTGAACTCAGGAACTTCCAGGGACTCCCTCCTTGGAAGGAGCTCACCCTCTAAGCCAGGGGTGTCGCCCAGCCTGCCGCAGCTGCTTCAGGGCTGCCCAGGGTGGGTCTCCAAGCTGAGATGTTTACCCACCAGCTCTCATGGGCGTTCAAAGTCTGTGGAATGTCAGTGCCGTGAGGGCAGGGACTTGCTCTAGTCACAGGACTGTTCCCCACAGTCTACCCAGACGCCCTAGCCCTAGAGCTCTGCCTGCATAGCTGTGACAGCTGCTCCGTGAGTAAGTGTGCAAATCTGAGTGGTGTCTGATGGGGCTTTGAAGTATATTCTGAATTTGGATAGGCAGAGACCACTTGGAGTGTGTTCCTGCAAAGGGACTGGCATGAGCAAAGGCTGAGCAGAGAACAGGGCCAGGGTGTAATTGGGGAAACCATGAGTAACTAGTTTTGTTAGAGTGCAGAGGTGAGCATGTTATCCCTGTACTTGTTTGACTAGTTTTTCGTCCAGCTCCGTACCGTGTATGTGGTTCTCTGGAGAGGCTTGTTTATCGGCACTGATCCAGGGTGCGAATGCTGTGCTTTGGTGCACAGGTGCAGGCACTGGGGCCCCTGGCCCCTTGACACACGGGGAAGTGAGTGCTTGAACCTAGTGTCTGTCCAGCCTGTGCCTTCTGGGGAGGACGTTGTGTTCCCTCGGGTCTGTGTTAGAAGGTTTGCAAGTTAGCCCCGAAGGGAACAGCGGGATGAGGGGCAGGGGGAGGGACGGGGACTGACCAGGCTGGTACCTGTGGCCTCAGCCAGGGCCTTTGCTCTCTCGGCACCTGACGGGCCCTGCCCTCTGCTCCACAGGCTGGAGGAAGTCCCCCTGGAGGTGCTGAGGCAGAGGGAGTCCAAGTGGCTGGACATGCTCAACAACTGGGACAAGTGGATGGCCAAGAAGCACAAAAAGGTGAGGGGCCTGGCCTTAGGCCTAGGGCTGGGAGTTGCAGTGGGGGAGGCATGGGGCTGAAGAGGCAGGGGCTGCATCAGCACGGAGGAGCAGTTGGGTCTCCAGCCGCCCGCTGTCCCCCCACCAGCTTGGAAATGGGGACAGAAGCTGGTCTTCCCAGATAACAGCAGACTCATGCAGACTTCTTTCCTCGAGTCACACCTCAAAGCTGCTCTCAGCTGAAGGCCCTTCAGGCAGCTTTCCTGCAGTGCTCCTGGGCAAGTCTTTACTACTGCCTACCACCTAGGGGAGGACTTGATATACTAATAGTGGCCAATGATGTTGACGCAGCGTGCTGGGCACTTAGCTGGGTCATCCTTACAGCACCCCAGTGAGGTTGGTGGTGGTGGTATTAGGTATGACTGATGGCAGAGTCAAAGTTTGAACCCAGGAGTCTAACTTTAGTGCCTGCACGCTTTGCACCACAATAAGGGGCCTTCTTTACCCTCTAGATTAATTCTATGAGTTCCCTCTTGTCCCCAGCCAAAGCAAAAAGAAGGAAAAGTGACTTCACAGTTTAATGGTCTCATAAAAATGAAAATACCAGTGGTTCTTTTCTGGTGGGCTGTATTTAGGCGCCGGCTCTGCCACACTGTAGGCGCATCCTTGTCCACCACACGTGTGTTGATCCTCTTGTTCACCTTAGCAGGGTCTGCTTACTCCCTGGCTGAGCGGAGGCCTGTCTGCCGTCCCACAGCCGGGGTCTCTCTGCACAAGTCCCCAGTGCACAGTGACCCCCCTGGCCTGCATCGTCAGCTGACATGCTGGTCTGGGCCAGGCTGGCACAGCCGCTGCAGGGCCTAGCAGAAACCCAGGGCTAAAGGTCACATTTGGGCTTGGGTTCAGCCACACAGCCCCCACTCTCCATGCCCATGGCTAGCGGAGTGACTTTGGGCGATCACCTCACTCCCCCAGCCTCAGTTTCCCTGCTCAAATGGGAATGAGCGTCCTGTTGCAAGGCTCCTCCTGTAAAGCCCTGTGCCCATGGGAGGAGAGGTGCACCCAGACCGGGGCTCTTTCTTACCATTCTGTGTGGACTTTGGGGCTTTCATTTTTTGCTTATTAGAAAAAATTTCACTTAAAAAAATACTTTTTTAAGGCAGTTGTTACCCAGCTGCTTCCTGCCTGACTCTGGGGTCTGTTTTCCTGCTTCCTCAGCCCTCAGGCCCTTACCCTGAGCTTTGGCTCCTCTCACCGCCTGCGGAGGTGACTGGTGGCTGGCAGGGAGATGGCTGTGGCATTCTTACCCCCACCTCCTTGCAGATGGGGATTCCAGAGGGGAGCCGTGGGGAGCTCCACTCCGCAGAGCAGCCAGCATCACTTCCTCTTCCTCTTTGCTTCCCTGGCACTGCGGTTAGAGACCAGGGCTACCCGCCCAGCCGGGGCCACCAGAAGAGGCTGCACTCCACCCTCCCCGGGGACCCTAGTGTACTGCTTGTCTCCTGCCACTCTGGCCCCAGAGCTCTTACTGCCTTGCCGCGCCAGCTGGGTCGGGAGGTGGTGGCACCGGAAGGACGACACCTGCACCAGAAGTGCATCAGACCCGCCACACTGATGCTGAGTCCCTGGGACACGGTCAGGCCCCGCAGAGAGACAGGGCGCTGGTTGGAATGCTGTCTTCCCCTGTTGGGCTCTGCTTAAAGTTTGCCCTGCCCTCCTTGAGCTCAGCAGCTGGGTGTGGCTTTTCTCAGTTGTCATCAGAACTCTCCTTTCCCAAGGCCTTACCTCAGATAATGGCAATTCCTGTGCTTTCTGTTTGCTGAGCACTCTCTGGCTTTACCCTTGCTCTTCCCCACCTCTGCCTCTCCCTAAGAGGTTATCATCTCCAGCACCCTGAGCTGAGGAGGATGTCAGAGGTCAGAGGGGGAAGGTTAGTCGCTCAGTCACGTCTGACTCTTTGCAACCCCATGGACTGTATCCCGCCAGGCTCCTCTCTCCATGGGATTTTCCAGGCAAGAATACTGGAGTGGTTGCCATTTCCTCCTCCAGGAGATCTTCCTGACCTAGGGATAGAACCCGAATCTCCTGTATTACAGGCAGATTCTTTACCACTAAGCCACCAAGGAAGCTGGTTGTATTCCCAGCTCTCCATCCCCACCTCCCCCACCTCGGGCCTGGGTGAGGCCGGGCCGCTCTGTGAGCTTAGTGGACTGAAGGTATTCCTGGACTCTCCTCGGTCCCGAGCAGGCTGAGGGTGGTGGGGCTGCAATGATATGTGGGGGCCGACTCAGCTGAGCTTGGCCCTGGGGAGCCTGAAGGGCCTGTGGTTCCAGGTCATGTGCACCCCTTCACCAAAGCCCACCCAGACCATGCGGCTTCCTTCAGGAGACCCCGGTCCCACAGCAGCGGGAAACTGTCCGTAGAGTCAGGCGGGTCCCTTCTGCTCCCTTCCTCGCCCCGCTTTGCAGGCAGTCCCAGAAGTGCAACTTGGCCCCTCTGACCAGCCATTCTGCTCTTCCCGCACTGCCCTCAGCCTGCCTGCCTGTCTCCTTCCTGGTTCTTGACTCCCTCTGACCCTTGGAAAGTTTTCTCTTGTTTGCGCTGGTCATCAGGAAGCCTGGGCCTCCTGTGCTCCCTTCTCAGAGAGCCTCCAAGGGGACTGTCTGAGGGGGTTTCCAGATGAGGGGACTTAGGAGTGAGCCCGGGGCCCAGGGCCTCTGAGTCACTTGTCCTCCTGGGATTGGAGGGGCAGAGAGGAAGCCATCATTTGTTAACACCGACCCCCTGCACCACTTCTGATAGAATCCTGGTTGTTACCAGTTTGATCTTACAGTTGATGAGAGGTGATGGGCTGAGGTCAGCGCTGGATTCAAACCCATCACCCAGGCACCTCCCACTTCCCACTGCCCTGAGCCCCATCTCCACCCCAGGCCAGGCTGCTTAGTACAGCGGCCCAGGGCAATGTCACTGGACAGCCCCCCACCCTCTTTCCAGAGGAATGGCGCCTCTGCCTTTGCCCTCAATCTCCTTGACCCTTGGCCTGAGGTCAAGGAGGATGATCAGGGCACCTGCCTTCGAGCCTCACTCTCCCCTCAAGCCCAGAGGAAGCTCATCTCCCCATGGGACTTGGAGAGGCCTGAGAAGTGAGCAGCCAGGGCTCGGTCCTCCAGCCTGTGCAGTGTGGCTGGGAGTTAGCATGGTCCCTGATGGAATGACCTTAATAATATCCCCACTCTGTGCCTCAGTTTCTCCATCTGTGAAACACATGATGCTTTCTCAAGCCGGGTTTTGGCAGTGGAAGACTTTTTTCTGTTGAAGAGTACAAGCGTATGCATTGAGCACTAGCTCTGGGTCGTGAGCTCCCCAGGCACTTCCTCCTTCCCCTCTCCCAGCCCGTGTTGGGGAAGGCCGGCGCCAGTTTAGCCTGGGATCAGGACTCACACCCAGACCAGCTGCCTCCACCCTGGTCTGGAAATCGTGAGAGCTCAGGGTCAAGGAGAGCAGAAGAGGGGGGATTCTTGACCAAACAAAGGGGAAGCCATTCTGACCGGCTCCCGTCTTCTTCCTGAATTCTGCTGAGATCTGTCCTCTCTAGGCTGGATGTATCCTGCCACATGGCTGCTTAAACACTCCCATGAAAGCACCCAGGACACGTCTCTGGGCACATTCTGAGTCATCTTGTGAGCTGCTTTCCCTGCGGCTGAGCCATGTTCCACATCGTGCAGATCCCTTCCTGGTGACATCCCAGGGGCTCCTCTAACTCGTCTGGTTCCATTTGGATTCAGAAAATGGAGATGGGGATTCCTAGTCCCGTGTGGATGTCAAGAATCCCTGTGTTGTCACTGGACCAGGGAACATGGGGCCGCTGCCATCACCTGGTGGCAGCCGACTCAGTGCAGCGTTGGAGCAACAGGGGTGAAGTCCTCTTTTTCCCCTGTTCCGCTCTTGCCCCCGTGCTCACTGAAGGCCTGACGAGCACCAGCCTCTTGGGGGCTGGGGAGGGGGCAGCAGGCAGCCTGGCTGGATGCACAGACACGGCCTCCCTTTGACTTCCAGATCCGACTGCGGTGTCAGAAGGGCATCCCACCTTCTCTGCGGGGCCGTGCTTGGCAGTACCTGTCAGGAGGCAAGGTGAAGCTGCAGCAGAACCCTGGAAAGTTCGATGTGAGTTGCCCTTCCCTCCCCTGCCCTCCCTTCCTCGTCTCTGGACATCTTCTGGGGGCGGTGATCCTCTGTGCTCAGGGGACCTCTCCCCTCCAGAGCCAACTGTCAGGCCTGGTCAGTCTGTGACTCTGGGGGCTCCACTCATCTGAGGCGCCAGCTCTGAGCGGGCCTCAGTGGGGTGGACAGATTGGCAGCCCCCAGTTCCAGCTGTTTCTCTTGACAGCCACCCAGGTTTGCTCTTTTGGACTTGGTGAGCTACCTCTCAGCTCTTGGTTATTGGGAGGGACACTCAGAGCACTTCCCTGACCACGTGGGGCCTGAGCTCTGGGCCTTTGGGGGCTTCCCAGCAGGGTCACGGGACCCTAACACCTTTTGACTTCCCATTCTCTTTCTCCTGCCTCATCCAAGCCAGCTAGACATGGTTCACCCATGTTGCTTATGGTCTTGTCTGTTCCGGGGGTGGCAGAGCCAAACCAGTGTCCTTAGAGTTTAGAAGCCAGTCCGGGGTGAGACAGGGTACCCTCTGACAGCCATGCCTTCCCCTCCCGCTGCTCCGCACCCCAGATTGCCAAGGTGAAGAACACCCCTCCGTTCATGAGGCTTCTTGGGGCCCCCCTGGCCCGGGCTGCTCCTCCAGCCTGCTCCTCTAGGGAACTCGGGGAGTCAGTTGGCTTTCCCAGGGTTGCCCCAGCTCACCTGCCAGACTTGGCCCCAGGCCTCAGGGTATCTCCCAGGCTCTTGGGACTGATGATAGGCAGTGAGAGGGCTGTCAGTCAGCAGCTCCCTGTTGACAAAATTCATGCTTCAGTGAACAGCCCTCTCCCGCCAAACCTGTTCCTGGAGTTGCTGCTGCAGACCGGGAGGCGGGGAGAGTGGCCCAGGGACGGGGGTTGGTGGAGTGTCTGGCTGAGGGCAGGCCTGAATCAGGGATCGGGCTGTCCCACAGAGCACCGACATCATGCCCACTCAGGCAGCCTCTTGGCTCCAGTCTTCCTCCCTGTGGCTACATCACTTCCATGTCAGGGGGCTGCCTTCTGGCAGAGTGGGAGGCTCAGGGGTGGGGTGGGAGAGTCACCAAGGCCCTAGGTTACCTTTGGCTGCCAGAGCACAGTGAGAACCGAGGGAGCTCGGGGGCTGGTCAGCCTCCTGGTTCCACACTTAGCAGACATGAGCGCATCTGAGGAGCCACGGAGTGCGGAGCTGTCTGTGCTGTGTGGGTCTGGGGAGTGGTGCGTCCCAAGAGGGTTGGCCACCTCTGTGGGGTCTGAAGGTTGCTTGTGGTAGGAGGTAGACTGGCCCAGAAAGCCCTTCATGATGTTTTGAAGCTTAGTGGAGGGGCCCCGGCGCAGTCCTGGGGGCCAGAACAGTGGTTTGTGAGCACAGCAGGAGGGACTCTGCGTGTCTGTGGGGTGGAGGAAGTGGACGGGGAGAGAAGCTGCCTCTGGCTGCCGGGGCACAAGAGCCCAGAGGCAGGGGTGCCGTGGGGGGCTGTGGTGCAGCGGTCCTGCCCCCAGAGGCCCTTGTGGACCCCAGCCTCCACTGTCAGCGCAGGCTCCACATCCTGGCAGCGTCTCCTCCTCTGCGCTGGCCACTTCTTCCTCCTTCCTCAGGCAGGACAGGACCTTCCAGTCTTTCTTCCCTGGTTTTCTTCTCCGGCAGGCTCCATGGGGGGCTGCGGTAGCTGCATTGCCCCCAGCGGCCCCTACCTGCCTTGGACTCTCGGCACCCTTTCTCCCTGCAGGCCCTTCAGCTGCACCTTTCTCTTTCTGAGGGGTGGTGACCCTGTGTGGCTGAGAGCCGTGAGCTGCTGAGGAACCCAGCGAGCATGTTCTAGGAGCCTTGGGTTCCCAGGTCTGCACCTCAGTGGAACCTTCAGGAGAACTTGTGGGACCCTCCTTTCCTTCCTGACAAAAGCAGACCTGCACTGTACTGAAGACCGTGTCTAGGATCAGGACAGCATCCTGACCTGCAGAGTGCCTCAGACACTAGCGGCCCCCACTGAGGGGGGTTGCACACGCACAGGTTGCGTGTGTGCGTCTTTAGCTGGGCAGCTGCTCCAGGGCCTGCTGTCCAGACCCCGGGCCCCTCCTCACCCTCCAACACTCCATCAGCTTTTTGTCTCAGTGTTCACCCTCTTGTGTCAAGTTAGCTGACACCCTAGGGTCCTCATTTCAATCCTGGGACACCCCCACTGAGGGGGCACAGGGGGAAAGGGACTTGTATGAAGTCACCTGCCGGGCAGGGGCCTGCGCCTACACCCACTGATGTGTTTGCTGAGGACCCAGCCTTCCTCCTGTGGCCCTCCTTGCACTGCCCAACACGTAGACAACGAGGGCTCTGCCTGCTTCCCCTCTCAGCCCTCCAGGCATCCTTTCCACTGAGTTGTTTCTTTCTTTTTTGAAAGCTGAGGTATGAATTTACATAAAGAAAAAGTGCACAGATCTTAAGCACAGTTCAGAGAGTCTGGACAAATAATACATACCCCTGTACCAACAAGCAAGTAAGATAGAGGACATTTCAAGTGATCGAGAAAGGATCTTTCTTTGTGTAGTAGCTTTGTTTACATAAATGGAACTCATGCAAAAATGTTCACGGAAGTTCAAAGAAAAGAGTAAAAATTTGCTGAAACTCCGGCACCCAGAGATGGCTCTGAGGCTGCCAGTTTGACAGACGTCATGACGTTGCTCAGTGCGGCACATGCACACACACCCACTTCCTGAATAGGTGGCACCACTTTACATGGAGGTGGGTAGCACAGGAGTTGGGTTGACAGCTCTGAGTCAGCCTGGCTTCCAGACCCAGCTGCACCATTTTTCTAGCCACAAGGCATCAGGCAAGTGGCTTGTCTTTAACCCTCAGTTCCTCACCTGTGAACACTGTAATGATAGGACCTGTCTTTGGGGGGCTGAGGCGAACAGTCGGCGAGGCCCACATGTGCCATCTGAAGTGGTGCTCAGGGTGGTGCTCCCAGGTAGGAATCATTGCTTCCAAGTTGCCTTCCATCTTCAGGGGGTAACAAGGTGTTTGAATCCTGAATGAAGTGCCTGGAGATTATCTCAAGCCACAGCTCTGTCAGGCACTCTTACCCACATGGGTCTTCCTCCTGAAGCCTAGGTCGCCCCTCAGGGTTTCCAGGACCCCGCTCATCTCTGCCCCGCCCAAGCTTCCTGACTTGTCCTCGGGGAGGCCCAGTCAGGATGGGATTGGGTGGACATTGTCCCTGTTGATGGGCCTCCTCCACAGCCTGGGACAGTGATATCCTCCCAGCCATCCCTAACTCCTAAGAGACGCTCTTGACCTTGCTTCCAGGAGCTGGACATGTCCCCTGGGGACCCCAAGTGGCTGGATGTGATTGAGCGTGACCTGCACCGACAGTTCCCTTTCCACGAGATGTTTGTGTCCCGGGGGGGCCACGGGTGAGCAGGCTGGGCCTTGTGGGCTGTCCCTTTCCCTGAGAGAGAGGAGGTAAAATCAATTTGGGGGCACGTAGGGGGTCCCGGAAGCTGGAGGGTCCTGACTACTCTGTTAGTTCCCTCTTTGGTTTGAGTCTGATGGGTCCTCTTTGTTCTGAGGCAGCTTCATCCTGTACTTCCCAGAGTGCTAGGCTTGCCTGGCCTGGCCTTCCTCTGGAAACAGGAAGATGCACAGATTGAGTGGGGAGAAAGAAGGCTGGAGAGAGCTGGGTGGGTACAAGATATGCAGGAGAGGAGAGACGTGGCAGCCAGGCCGGGACCGAGACAGTCCTGGGACGGGGCTGGCCTGGCCGAGGGGCCACAGCTGCCAAGCCGGGGGCCACACTCCCTGCCCCGGCCCTGCCCCCCACTTTCCTTTTGAGCCTCTGCCCTCACCTGTCAAAGGAGGGTGCAGGGGCTGCAGTGGGAGACTGACCCCTCGTGACCACACTCTGCAGGGAAATGCAGCCTCTGAGTCAGGTCTGGCTCAGTGGGGCGCAGGTGAGGCCTGTGGGTGGCGAGTCCCACCCATCAGCCCTTCCCCGCTCGCCTCTCCGCAGCCAGCAGGACCTTTTCCGGGTGCTGAAGGCCTACACGCTGCACCGACCCGAGGAGGGCTACTGCCAGGCCCAGGCGCCCATCGCTGCCGTGCTGCTCATGCACATGCCTGCCGAGGTACCCCCAGGCCGCGGGCGGGTGGGCGGGCGGGCAAGGGACACCCAGCAGCCAGGCATGACGGCTCTCTTGCCCACAGCAAGCCTTCTGGTGCCTGGTGCAGATCTGTGAGAAGTACCTGCCTGGCTACTACAGTGAGAAGCTGGTGAGTGCTTGCAGCGTGGCCCTGGCCTGAGACCCGCCCCCAGACCTGACACCTTTGTGGCCTCTCCAGGCCTTAACTCAGCCATCCCATTGCCTGTGGAAGTCCTGCTCGGCCTCCTGTTGCCTGAGGCTGGAGTCCCCAGGCTGCCAGGGTCAGGGCTCCTGGGCTCCGGCCTCCCACTTCCACCCTCTCTCCACCTCTGCCTCCCTGTTCCTCCAGGGCACCACAGTCCTCCTGCCTTGGCCGTCACATAGGCTTAATCCTCCACCCCTTCTTTCTTCTGATAACCTTTCTTTCCCCTCAGCTTTCAGCCCATTGGAGCATTCCCTGACCTGATAGGGGGGCCTCCAGCACACGCCCCCCAGGGTCTTGTTCCTTGCCCTGCCCTGGGCACCTTAGCCCCCTCCCTCCCTCCACGCCCTCGGCTCCTGATGCTCCTGTGGTTTGTGTCTGTCTGTCTCTCTGCACAGCACGCTCGGTGCGGGGAGCAGCTGTGTCTGGTCTGCCTGTCATCACCCCCAGCACCCAGCGGGAGCTTGGCACCCTGCGGCCTGAGCCGCCTGAGGAGCCAGGGGTGGCTGCCGCGGGCCCTCGGTCACGGCCCAGTGGTTCCCTGTCCCCCCAGGAGGCCATCCAGCTGGACGGGGAGATCCTCTTCTCGCTGCTGCAGAAGGTGTCTCCTGTGGCCCACAAGCACCTCAGCCAGCAGAAGATCGACCCGCTGCTCTACATGACCGAGTGGTTCATGTGCGCCTTCTCGCGCACCTTGCCCTGGAGCTCCGTGCTGCGCGTCTGGGACATGTTCTTCTGCGAAGGTACCGGGCTTGCCCGGGGCAGCAGTCCTGCCCCCAGTCCAGCTCACGGGGGCCTCTGTTTGCAGAGAGACTCCCCAGAGCAGCCCCCACTGCCGGCACTCACCGCCCGCTCCCCCACAGGAGTCAAGATCATCTTCCGGGTGGGCCTGGTGCTGCTGAAGCACGCGCTGGGCTCCCCGGAGAAGGTCAAAAGCTGCCAAGGCCAGTACGAGACCATCGAGCGACTGAGGAGCCTCAGCCCCAAGGTCATGCAGGAGGCCTTCCTGGTGCAGGAGGTATGGCCACCCGTGCCCCTCACCCTGGAGATGAGGGGACTGACGGTCACCCTTGCCCCTCACCCCCAGAGGGAGGGCGAGCCTGAGGGCCCTGGTGGGGGCCCGCGGCCTTATGCTCAGCAGCCCAGGACAGTGTGGACAGACCTCGTCCTTCTGTCTGAACGAGGAGAGGGGGCACAGAGAGGCCCAGATCCACCTAGAGGGAATGAGAGTAGGTGCGGCCCACCCCCCGTCACAGCCTTGGTTTATTTTCCTGTTTTTCTCTTTTGTGGATCTTTGTCTCGGGGGCTGTCGTGAGGTGATACACAGGTAGGTGGGAGGACTCATGGCTTTCTCCTCTGAGGCCGGGGCCTCAAGGGCCTCCTCACCTGGCACTCACTCTGGGGCTCGTGACCACCATCCTGTGGTCAGCCCGCTTGGCCCGGGCCGGGCTCTTCCTGACGCCCCCCGCCTGTCACCGCCCCACAGGTGGTGGAGCTGCCAGTGACAGAGCGCCAGATCGAGCGCGAGCATCTCATTCAGCTGCGGCGCTGGCGGGAGACGCGGGGGGAGCTGCAGTGCCCGTCCCCGCCCAGGCTGCACGGCGCCAAGGCCATCCTGGAGGCAGAGCCGGGCCCGCGACCCAGCCTGCAGCCCTCACCGTCCATCCGCCTGCCCCCGGACGCCCCCCTCTCTGGCTCCAAAGGCAAGCCCAAGACATCCAAGCAGGTGCAGAAGGAGCCGCGGAAGCCAGGGAAGGAGAGTGGGCAGCAGGACCGGCCCCCTGCCCCAAGTCAAGCCAAGGCGGCGGCCGCCGCGGGAGATGCATCTCCTCCACAGGATGTGCCCCCAAAGGACCCGGCCCCCCAGGACCCCCGGGGCCCGGCTCCCCAGGACTCAGCCCACCACCGCTCCCAGGAGAGCCTGACATCCCAGGAGAGTGAGGACACCTACTTGTAACCCTGGCAGCTCAGGCCCCTGGGCTGGGGTCTCCACACACCACACGGTTCACCGACTGACTGACACTCCAGGGCCCGCCCGCCCTCCGAGGGCCCGCTGCCTGGCCCCGGGTGGCAGGGAGTCTGGCTGGCCCAGCACAGATTCTGCCTGAGTCTCCTTATTTATTTTCTCCAGAGCGGAGCTTGGCCGGCCCAGCTGGGGGCAGGCAGATGTGTGGGCCAACGGGTGGGGCCTCACTCAGCCCCTCCTGGGGGGATGCTCCCCAGGGCTAGGGCATGGATGTGAGGTGGGGCGGGGGGGAGGTTCTTTGTGTAAAATAGAAACATGGTTTTGTACAGAAATAAACAGGCTTGTGTAGAGAGATGGTGTGCAGCTTGGGACTGGGAAGGGGGTGCCACCCCTAGGGCTCAGCATCTCTCCTCCACACCCTACAGAGGCCCCCATCCCAGCCCCAGTTTCCCCTACTTCATCCCCCTTGCCCCACGGCCACCGCCTGCCATGGGTGAGGGTCACCAGGGCCCAGGCAGAGCAGGGCCTGCTCCCCAAGCCTTGACCCTGCCCGTCACAGAGGGGAGGGGCTCCGCAAGTCCTTCCGCAGTCCTCCTCCAGCGGCTGGCCTGGGTGCCACTTCGGACCCCAGTAAGGTACTCGTTCTGGGCTGGGTGCTGGTGCCAAGGGTGGGTGATTGTGAAGAACTGCCCTCCCATGCTCAGCCCAGGCCTCCATCCAAGTTAGAGGAGTGCAGGGTGGAGTGTGAATCTGTGACATGAGGCGCCCACTGGCCACTTACCGAGCTGATCACGTGCCAGGCTGGGCTGGCTGGCTGATGACTGGGTGGGCTTCATCCCTATCCCCGCTTTACAGAGGAGGAAGCAGAGGAGCTGAGCAGGAGAGGTGCAGCCGATCCACACTGGGGCCCAGAGCCCCTCGCTACCTCTCCCAACTAGGGTGACCTGACTCCGCATTGAGGACCCAGGCAGGCAGTGTGGTGACCAGCAAGGGTGAGAACAGGGTGTCCCGGGAGAGGCCCCCCTTCTGCTGAGGAAGCAGCTTTTCCAGTCAAACAATAGTGGCTGTTCCTGGCAGGCCACCAGGCTGGGCCGGGCCGGGGTGGGGGCGCGGGGGGAGAGGGAGGGAGGAGCAGAGCCTCCCTGGGAGCGTTTAGGCATCGCAGGGCTGCAGCCTTGGCCTGGGACGTCCTGTTCTGGTAGAACCCAGAACCGGGGATACTGAGGCTGAGGAGGTCAAGGGTCACATGAACCTTTCATGGAAAACCACCTACTTCTCACCTCCCGCTGCTCCCCCCGTGGCTCCCTATGCCACCTGCCCCTGAGACGAGGGCTCGGCCTTAGAGGACACTGCCCTCCCCCAGCCCTCCAAGGGCCTGGCCAGGATGCGGTGGCTGCAGTGTTCTGTGGGGACCCACAGAGCCGGAGGGTCTAGGAAGGGCAGGTGCCGCCCCCTTCCATCCGCCTACCGTAAAGACTGCCGAGTGGGCGGGAGGCCTGCTCAGACCTGCTAGGTCCATCAGACCTGAGTCCTGCTCTAACCTGTTTGATTCAGAGCCTCGGCGGTGGGGCCTGAGGACCAGGCAAGGGCCCCTGGAGCACGTTCTGTCCTGCTGCGGAGCCAGCCTCCCTGTGCCCATGCCTGTGCGTGCCGGGGTCTTTGCAGGCCTGAGGACGCCTGAGCGGAGCCCAGCCCTGCTGTGGAAACAAGCCCGCGTTGGCACTCACCAGCCTCAGATCTGGGGCGTCTGCCAGCGCTGGGGGCCTCCTCAGGCATGAAGCATGAAGTTTAGGTGTGCTCAGGCCACGTTGGTCCTGCTCATGACTGCAGCCTTATGTCTCGGCAGAGAACTGAGGACCCAGTGAGCCCCAGGTGCATGGCCCTGTTCCCCCAAAGGCTGAGCTTTGGGCATTTCTGGCCCAAACAACTGTTCAGCCTGGTGGCCTTCAGCTCCCTCCCCACCACATGCTGCTCAGAGAATGGCTGGGGCCCTCCCTTCTGCTCTGGAAGCTGTGTGAGAAACATGGGGCCACTGAGTGCAGGTCAAGCTTCACCTTGTCAGTCCACTCACAGGGCTCACGAAGCAGGGAGGGTGTGTCAATACTAGTCCCGGGCAGCCCTCGCTGGGGGACTTTTGTCCCCACCACCCCTGCCAGCTCTGGCGGCCCTGCCCCCACGCTGAGCCACGAGAGGAAGGAGGGGCGAGGCACCAGGACGCTCTCAGGGCAGAGAACCACTCGGCTGCCTGGGCTGCGGCAGCGGACCCCGCCCCTCGCACGCTCCAGGAGTTTAGGGGCTGCGTTCTGTCCCAGGCGCGCCTCCAAGGCTCAGCGAAATTAATTCTAAGGCCAGTCTCCGCCGGCTCGGGACCTCAGCGCAGCGAGCGTCCTACGGAAAGCGCGGAGCCCTGAAAGGCGGGGAGGCGCGGCCGGGGCCCCCCCAGAAGGACTCGACGGGGGTGGGGTCAGCGGGCGATTCCCGAGCCCAAACCGGTGGGGCGGAGCCAGCAGGGGCGGGTAGGGCAGGCCGGACCGAGCAGAGTGAGGCTCCGGCGCTAGAAGGAGGCGTGGCCACCCCGGATTGGCCGCTCGGCCCGCACGGCGTGGCCTTCGGGGAGTTGGCGTAGCTGGCGGCGTGCACTCGGCCGCGCAGCGGCCCCTTTAAGCCCCCCGGCACCGCCCCCAGCGACCCGCCCCCAGCACGGCCTGGGTCCTGCGGGCAGCGGGGTCGGGTCCGCGCGGGCCGCGATGGAGCTGCACATCCTAGAGCACCGGGTGCGGGTGCTGAGCCTCGCCCGCCCCGGTCTCTGGCTCTACACCCACCCGCTCATCAAGCTGCTCTTCCTGCCCCGCCGAAGCCGGTGCGCTCCCGGGTCCGCGGCACAGATGGGGGTGGGCTGCACTGCCGCTCTGGGACGGGGTCGGGAAATTAGGGCCGTCGTGGGGCCAGCGGTAGCCGGCGGGGAGAGCCCTCCCTGCCTTCCTCCCTCCCCCGCCCCCGGCCGCCATCCGGCCTGGGCCTAACCTCCCCGGGACCGCCGCCTATCCGGCCCCGTGAGGCCCCCTCCCAGGACCGGTTAAGGCGCAAACAGCCCGGGATGGTCAATGCTTAACCCTAGTGGTGTCCGGTGGGGGCATTCTTTCCTGGCGGCTCCGTGGAACTTTTTCCAGTTGCCTGCCGTCGGGCCAGAGGGGCTGGTCTAGGGGGCTCAAGGTTCGACGGCCCGAGTTTGTAGCCGCGGGTGAGCCTCTCCTCGAGTCCGGGCATGGAGGTCGGGGGGGCGGAAAGCAGTTCGCAGTTCTGGAAATGGGGCACACACCCCACCGTCCTGGGGAGAAAACAGGCTTGAGGGGGCAGGGAGGCGCCCGGCCGGGGTCTACCCGCCCCCTCCGCCCCACCCAGGCTGAAGATGCCCCCCGCCCCCAACCAGGTGCAAGTTCTTCAGCCTGACGGAGACCCCCGAGGATTACACGCTCATGGTGGACGAGGAGGGCTTCAAAGGTGGGGGCTGGGCTGGGGAGAGGGCGTAAGGGAGGAGACCGCGCTCGTCTCTTTGCGGGATTCTCACCGAATGCTAGGATCCATGGTCGCAAGAGCTGGGGGCCTGGAAGGCGGATGGATCTGGGTTCGAATCCATTCCCACTTTTCACTGGCTGTGTGCCCTTAAGCAAGTCACTTCCCCTCTCTGAGCTGTTTGTTTCCTCTTATGTAAAATGGAATAGTTACGGCTCTGATCTAACAGAGTCCCTCGAGGGCGTTATAAACGGGGCTGTGTGTGAAGGGCGGTTAGCAGCCCCTGGCCGGCCATCAGGGCCTCAATTACAGTTCTGGGGCAAGAATCGGTTTACTGTGACTGTTTCACCACCCAACCCCACCCCTGCCGTTATCCCCCCCCCCGACTGACTTCTCTCATCTCTGGTGTGTGTCACCCCCTCCCCAACTGGTCTGGCGGCTCCAGGAGTCTGAGAGGGTTGGGGAAGGAATGCAGGAGGAGCAGGCAGCCAGCCAGGGCAGGGTCCTGGCGGGCCTCCTAGCTGTGCTTGGGCAATTAGCAGCCACCCTGGCCGTGGCCCCTGCTCCGGACTGGACTCCAGCCTGGTCCGTCCCTGATCCCTGGAGTGGACATCTACCTCCCTACTCCTGCCAGCCTGGCCCCGGCTGACAGGCTTGGAGTCTCAGGCCAGACCACTGGGGCTTCACTGGCAGGCACAGCGCTGCTTCAGGCCTTAGTTTCCCTGTTTGTTGCAGCAGGAAAGTTTGGATCTGCTCAGGAAAGGGCATCCCCTAGCCAACTTGGTCTGCTGGCTCCCCCTGGTGGTGCCACACGGTATGAGGCCTCTGTTTGCCCACGGAACACTCGTCTTGCGGTCCATACCGTCACCCCATTTTACAGAAGAGGAAACTGAGGCTCAGAGAAGTCAAATCATTTGCCCCAGGTCAACAGAAAGTAGATGGTGAGGCTGGGATTGGAACCCAGCTCTGTCTGAATTCGGAGCTCCGATCCTAACTGGGAAGTTTCAATCCCTGACAGGCCAACACCTGAAGCACCTCTCAGTCCTTGCAGACATGCAGGTCTCAGGAGCAGAACTTGGGGGAGGAAGACAGCTCCAGTCTCCAGACCTGACCTGACCTTGGTAGAGCTCCCCGTAAGGCTCAGACAGGGAAACAGGGCAGGGGCCAGCCCTGTAGGCCCTGACCAGGCCTGTGCCCCCTGCCCCACAGAGCTGCCCCCATCCGAGTTCCTGCAAGTGGCCGAGGCCACCTGGCTGGTGCTGAACGTGCCGTCCCCCAGTGGCGCGGCCGTGCAGGCTGCCGGGGTCACCAAGATCGCCCGGTCGGTAATCGCGCCGCTGGCCGAGCACCACGTGTCGGTGCTGATGCTGTCCACCTACCAGACAGACTTCATCCTGGTGAGTTTCCCACCGGTGAGAGAGGTGGGCGGGGAGCCTGTACCGGTTGCCAGGGACGATTCCAGCAACGGCTTTCCCCGTGCTCAGCATGGTGAGACCCGCCCTCTGACACCCGGGCCTCGGCGGGGGCTCCTCTTCCCACCGGGGGCCCTTCCCTTGTGCAGGTGGGGCTGTGGGTTTGGGGAGACCAGCTGACACGCACTCCCCTCCTCACAAGAGGGGGCCGGGAGAACCCAGGCAGCTTCCTGCAGGTGCGGCGTGACCTCCTCCCAGCCCAGGCTGTCTCTCTCTGGCTGGCCACCAGGGGGCGCGCCCGCCCACAGTCGCCCCTTGACCTCCGCCACAAACCCTCCCCAGCAGGGCCCAGCCCCACGGTGCACCCCATCCAGAGCCCACAGAACCGATTCTGCGTCCTCACGCTGGACCCCGAGACTCTGCCAGCCATCGCCACCACCCTCATCGACGTCCTCTTCTATACACATAGGTGGGCCCCCGTTGGCATTGGTCCTCACAACCTTGTTCCCAAGCTCCTTCCCAGCACCTTCCGCCCACCCCTGGGTTCTGCAGTTCTGTGCCCTGTTAGGTGGCTGGGGTTCCCGGCCGCCTGCGACACCCCTGTGCCCAGCACTGAGGTCCAGGCAAGGTCCCGAAGCCACAGCTGGAGCCCCCTCCCCACCCTGGCGTGGGCAGGGCCCCCTGAGCTGTGCCCTGGTCAGGCCCTCTGGGCCTGGGGTAAAATCCTCTTTGTCACACTCAGGGTTCGCCATCCTCTCCCATCCCCAGCCATACCAGCAGGTCAGGGCCCTCAGACAAGGGATGAGGGCAGGGGGCCAGGAGGGTCTGCCCAGGGCCGCCTGTGCCAGCCCCTTCGCTGGCATGGAGCCCGGCTGGGAGGTGGAGCTGGCCGAGCACCTGAGGCCCCCCTCCTCCGCAGCCCCCCTAGGGAGGCAGCCTCTGGTGGCCCCGGATCCAGTTCCATCACCTTCTTTGCCTTCTCCCTCATCGAAGGCTACATCTCCATCGTCATGGATGCTGAGACGCAGAAAAAGTAAGTGACCCCTGACCCCAGGTGGCACACAGGCCCCCGGCCAGCCCCTGGGAGGGGGCAGCTAGAGCATCCAACGCTGAGTTCAGCCGGCTGACCTCCTCCCGGGGCTCACAGCGGAGGCAAGGGGGGACCCGGGTGCCCCCGCCCACCGCCCTCCTGCCGCCCCAGGTTCCCCAGTGACCTGCTGCTGACCAGCTCCTCGGGTGAGCTGTGGAGGATGGTGCGCATTGGCGGACAGCCCCTGGGCTTCGGTGAGGGGCCGCACCTTGTGTCGGGGGCTGTGGAAGGGCTGGGGCCTGGGGGTGCTGTGAGGGGGGGACCGGGGGGACCCACACAGCCCTTCCTTGACCCTCAGATGAGTGTGGGATCGTGGCCCAGATCGCCAGCCCCCTAGCTGCGGCCGACATCTCCGCCTACTACATCAGCACCTTCAACTTTGACCATGCCTTGGTGAGCCGGCTGGCTGGGGAGGGGACCCTGGGGGAAAGGGGTGGGGGCGGGGCGGCCCTGATGCCTCCCTGTGCCCGCCGGCCCGCAGGTGCCCGAGGACGGCATCAGCAGCGTCATCGAGGTCCTCCAGCGCCGGCAGGATGGCCTGGGCTCATGAGGCTCCAGGGCTGGGGGGCAACAGCAGCCTCCAGGGTCTCCCCTTGCCCTCTGGCTTCCAAAGACTTCTCAAAGCTGTGTGCTCCAGCTCTGGGACGTTCCCGCCGGGAGGCCCCCTCCTTCCGCTCTGTGTATGTAAGCTGCGAGCAGACGCCGGCTCTCAACGTGGCTGCCGCGTGTCTGCCCAACACAGGGGATGTGGTGCTCGGGGATTCCTCCAGGAAGCCCTCAACCCATCACTGCCTGTGGGGCCTCGGGGTTTGCACATTCCCTGCCTGAGGCCTGAGCCTCCACCCTCTCAGCGCCGCCCCGGCTGGGTTGCCTGACCCAGCAAAGGAGTTCTGACCGTGCCTTCCCTTCCTGGGGCCTCCAAGAAAAGTATTTTTACACCTCTCTCTCTCTCTCTCTCTCTCTTTCCTTTTTAAGTCAACTTGTTAATAAAGAGCTTCTAGCGAGCAGACCGGGCTGTGGTCCTTGGGGTTGTTCGAGCCTCAGCCACAGGGCTGCCCCCAGCGGTCCTGGACTCTGCCCCCCTCTCCCACCCCATCCCGTGAAGCAGGCTCTGGGCTGGGCTTGCCCGAACCTCCCCCAGTGCTCACCTTGAGAGCCGTCGCCCCAGTTCTCAGGACAAAGTGACTGGAGCGCCGGCAGGGGGAGCGACCTAAGCCAGGACTGCGTGGTTCCCGGCTGGGGCTGCCTGGCTCTGAGGCTCAAGCTCTCGGTTCATTCCTTTCTGGGTCTGAACAGCCCAGAAGGTTCAGAGCAGAGGCTCACAGACCCTGCTGTCTAGGGTGGGGGGCTCCCACAACTCCCCCTGACCCCCCTGCCACCTTGGTTGTGGCTGGCCTGCTGGAGGCTTTCTTTTGGACCACGCCTGAGTTCTGGCCATCCCTTTGTGGGAGTGATCACTCAGTTCTTGCCCCCAGGGCTTTCCCGGAGCAGTGCTGGGCGGGGCCGGCCAGAGTGGGCCACTGAGAGTCCGTGCTGGGCTTGGGCTTGGCCCAGCCAAGCGGACAAAACAGGGGGCCAGAGGCCCCCTGGAGCCTCCGCAGCCAGAGGCTCCACAAACCCGGGCCCAGGTTTCCTGTCGCCGTGGGGCCATCTCCCCGTTCCGCGGGCTGGGATTCCGCTGTGACCCGGTGGGGCCCTGCAGATGCGCGGGGGAGGTTATCGGGTGCCCTCAGCCCAGACCCGCCCGCACACGGGAAGGGAAGAAGGGTGTGACTTCGGGGTACTCTGAGGTCGTGGTGGCTCCCCAGAAAAGCCAGAGCGGGGCCAGGCCTCTGGCAGCGCGCCCGCCCTGCCCCTGGGAACCTGGGGGCTGCAGATCAGAGGAGCAGGGAGAACGGCCCAGCCTGGTGAGTAGTGGTCGGGGGCCCAGGCCAGCCCCTTCCCCCCTCCCCCTGGCCTCAGTTTCCCCAGTGCCTGGAGACCCAGGAGGCAGCCCCCTCAGGGTCCGATACACGCTGGGCCCTGGGGAGGGGGCATTTGTCTGTGGATTGTCTTTGGGGTGAGGGGAGTCTTTCTTCTCTCTCTGGAGGGCCCACTCTGGGCCTTGGCTGGAGGGATGTCCCGGGCTGAGATGGGGGCTTCAGAACCAGAATTCCCGGGGCTACCTAACCTGCAGCTAGAGGGCTCCTGGCCGCCTGTCCAGCTCTCGGGGNGGGGGGGGGGTCTGTCTATCTCTCTGTTTGTGACTCACTGCCTTATTTGGGTGTTCCTGTCACCCCAGCTTTCCAAGTGGGTCCGGCCTCTCCCGGTCCTCCAAACTGGATTTTAACACAGCATTGGTTAGTTCTGGGCCTGCCCTCTGGACTGGCCTGGGCAGGAGCCACAGGTGCCCTGATGGGTCGGCCTGACTCAGGCCCAGGCCTCGAGGCCAGCACACCAGCCTGCATCTCCTCCCCACGCGTGTGTGTGTGGAGGGGGGTCGTTAGCTCTCTGGGCATTAGGGTCCTTGGGGGTCACTGGGCTGGCTCTCAGCAGGTTACAGATGGGGAGACTAAGACCCACCTGGAACCACTGAGACCCACAGGGCTTGGGCAGCGCCTGCAGCACACAGCTGCCTGGAGACGGGGATGTGACTGTGGCCCTCTCACAGAGCTGATTCTGTGGGTGCCGTCAGACGGACGGGTCCCGGCCCGTGTCCCAGGCCAGTGGGGTGGGGCAGAGGTGGCTCATGGACTGACCTTCTTAGCCTCCCAGGCCCCAGAGAGTTCCAGGGCGAAGGAAGTCGGTTTGGTCAGCCCAGGCTTGGTCTTGAGGTCATTCATAACTGAGGTTGGGGGCCCTCAGTGGCACACTCGGAGCCTCGGGGTGGCCGCTCCTGAGCGTGAGGTTGAGGCCCCAGACTGCGGGGCCTGACGCTTGTCCTCAAAGATCAGCCTGTGGCCTGGAAGGGCGGGCGGGCCCCACGTGTGGCTCAGCCCCATGTCCTTTGTCTGCTCGGGGGTATGAGCCTGGGCGGGCGGCTCTGGGTGGTGGGACAGGAGGTGGGCACACCTCAGGGGGAAGAACCCGAGGCTCATTTCCACGCTTTCTGGTTTCCACAGTCATACTGACTTTGTCGGCCCTCCTCCAAGCGTTTGAGCAGAAATTCAAGGTTTAAGGTCCTCACCCGCCTCGGCCAGGCCGGGCCGTGTGGTCCCGTGCTTGCAAAATTGCCGCAAAGAGGGTTTCTTTTCCCACATAGAGGGGAGGATAAAACTACTCCCCCAGCATGGTCTACTGGTCCCACTGGGTGGGACGGGTCCAGGCTGGAGGCAGGAGGAACAGCCCAGTCTGCAGCAGGCCAGCAGGCCACCCAGGGAGGCTGTGGTCCCCCCTGCATGTGGGGGAGGGGTGTGGCATGCTGCATTAATTCACATATTCACCACGCCCTCCCATCGGGCCCCTTTACCAGGGGAAATGAAGCACAGAGCTGTGAAGGTCACACAGCTGGGCATGGCAGAAGCAGAATTTAAAAAGAAGGCCAATAGTGCCCATGGGGCCTGGGGAGGTCCCCGGGGCGGGGTGGGGGTGTGGGTGGGCAGGGACAGTGTAGCTGACCCTTGAGGGACCTGGGTGATTTTGCAAGCTCCCTCGCAATCCCGGCTGTCTGCGTCGCTGGCTGGGCGTCTGCCGCCGGTGCGTGGGCAGGCACGCGCGGCCTGGCCCTGGCTCCTCCCTGACCCCAGGCTGGGTGTTGGGCAACAGCTGCGGTTTGTGTCTCCCTTTCCCAGGCGGGCCCTGGTGCTGGGGTTCCTGAATCCAGGGGTGTCTCAAAGGGGGGTGCCCAGAGCTCCCTTCCCCGAGGGGAGGGGGTCGGTCATGGTGCTGCATGGACGGGAGGTGTGCACTTGCGGTGTGCAGGCCTTGTTTGTGCAAAACAAACGAGTCTGTTTTGGCCAGAGAGTATATATGTGTGTCTGTCTGTCTGCACATGCTTCTGAGTGTCCGTGTGTCTGTGTACTTGTGCTCCCGTGTCGGAGGTCTGGGTGTCCACAGCCATACGTGCACCCAGCTACTCATAACCCTCAGCTGTGTGCCTGGCTCTGTCCCAGCACGTGTCCCATGTATGCGTGGCTGGCGTGTGCATCTGCTCTACTGTGTGCGTGTGAGCGTTTGCGGCACGTGTTTCTGCGTGTGTTTTCACCTGTGGCTGGGCCCATTTTCCTGTGTCCGTGTGTGCACGCACACGTCTGCATGCTTTGTCTTCACGTCCACCCTGCCCCTCCTGTACCCTCGTGTGCACCTTCCTTCCTGGACTCACTCCGCCCCGGGCCCCTCTGCCTCTCCCCGAGGCCGGAAGGCCCAGCCCCCTGCAGTCACCAGGGGAGCGGTGCGCTGTGCTGCCCTCCCCACCCCTGCCCTCTGCCTGGCCCCTGCCCGCCTCCGCCCTCAGCATCTCCGACCCCCTCCTCCCCCCTCTGCCCACATTTCCGTCCCTCCTCTTCTGCCTGCAGCCCCAAGGGAGCCTGGCTCTGCTTTCTGGCCCCCTCAGCCTGAGCTCGCTACAGGGACCCAGCCCCACTGCCCCGAGTCAGCGCAGGGTTGTTCTCGCCAGCGTGGCTGCCCCGGGCCTCCCGCTGGTCTCCCCGCCTGGGTCCCCTCCTGGCACACCCTGGCCTTGTACATTTAGGTGTGACTTTTCTTTTTTTTTGCGTGGCATGTGAAATCTTAGTTCCCCAGTCGCGGATCGAACCGGCGCCCCCTGCACTGGAAGCGTGGAGTGTTAGCCCCTGGCCCACCAGGCGCACGTTTTCTAAGTTGACAAACGCGAGCCCAGGGTGCAGGCGCTGCTCCAGCACTCACCCAGAAGGGGCTGCGGAGACCCCCCACTCCCTCCTGCCTCTTTGGAGCCCACTTCCTGCCTCCCAAACTCTTTGTATTCCTGGAGTGGTGTTTTTTTAACTCTGCCTTAATTTTTTTTTTTTTTTCCCTAATTGAGGCGAAATTCACACAATGTCAAGTTGACCATTTAAAAGTGAAGAGCTACCTCCGGGGCATTTAGCGCATTGTGTTGAGCAACCATCACCTCATCTAATTCCAGAACACTTTCATCACCCCAAGAGGAAACCCTGTACCGCTCAGCTGTCACTTCCCATTCCCCTCCCGCAGCCCCTGGCAATCACCAGAGTGTGTTTATGGATTTCTCTATTCTGGACATTTCCTGCAAATGCAGTCATCTCATATGTGACTTTTGATGTTTAGCCTTTTCACTCAGCGTGATGCTTTTGAGGCACATACAGGTGAACGCACATGTTAGTACTCCATTCTTTTTCATGGCTGAATAATATTCCAATGCATGACAGAATCATGTTTTTTGGACATAACCACTTTTTAAAAATTTTATCAGAGTATAGTTTCTTTACAATGTTGTGTTAGTCTCTGCTTTATGGCAAAGTGAATCAGCTGTATGCATACCTATATCCCCTCTTTTCTGGACTTCCTTCCCGTTAAGGCTGGGCCTTCCTGGTGGCTCAGACGGTAAAGAATCTGCCTGCGATGCAGGAGAACCCGGGTTCAATCTCTGGGTCAGGAAGATCCCCTGGAGAAGGAAATGCAACTCCCACTCCAGTATCCTTGACTGGAGAGTCCCATGGACGGAGGAGCCTGGCAGGCCACAGAGACTCAGACACAGCTGAGTGGCTAACACTTTTTCCCATTTAGGTCGCCCCAGAGCACCGAGTAGAGCCCCCTGAACTAGACAGGAATTCTCGCAGTAGATGCTCACCAGTTACCTATTTTATACACTGCAATGTGTATGACATAACCACTGTTTTTTATCCATTATTCGCTGACGGACTTTCGGGTCGTTCCCACCTTTGCCTGTTTAAGCTCTGCCTCCTTGCCCGTGGGGTGCACAGCAGTTGTGTTCAGTGCCCTGCTGTCTTCCTCACGTGCTTGTTCTGTGGATGGCCCCAAAGGGACACACACTGTCACCCAACTGAATGGCCACCAGCCAGTCGGCCCTTGG